CTTCTGTGTCTGTGTTAATTGGTTTCCCTTTTCTTTGTTGAAGAGGGTCTGTGCAATCCTTCTGCCTAGTCCGCCATCTTGCCCCGCCTCCCACAGTCTTAAGTGGCAAAGATTCAAACCCAGATCTGATGACTCTAAATCCCATGTTCTTTTTCACGTATCACCACAGGATCAAGCTGCTAACAGAGTAACCTGGAAACACCTCAGTATTATTCTAAATGTCCCATCACCCTTCTGCTTCATGAGCCCTGGAATCCCCTCCCAGGGGTGGTTGGCTCCCTTACAGTAGCACTGAAGAGTCAGACCTCCTGGGTTCAAAACCTCACTCTGCTACTTTCTAGCTATGCATGTCTTTGAGTAAGTCACTTGAACTCTCATCTTTAAAATGGGCAAAATAATGTCACATCATGACAAGTCACCGGGTGCTCAGCATCATGTCAGGCACATTAGCTGCTATTACAGGCATATTGTTATTATTGTTATGTGCTGTTGAGTCGGACCCGACTCATAGCGACCCCTCTTTAGGTTTCTGAGGCAGTATCACTACGGAAGTAGATTCCCATCCTTCCTTCTGAGAAGTGGCTGGTGAGTTTGAACCGCCAGCCTTCTGGTTAGCAGTCAAGTGCCTTAGGCACTACTTTACCAGAGCTCCCATTTTGAAGATACTGTGGGTTCGGTTCATGGTAATAATGTGAGTACAGCAATAAAGCGAGTCACATAATTTTTTGGTTTCACAGTGCATATAAGAGTTATGTTTACATTATACTGTAATCTATTAAGTGTGCAACAGCAGTAGGAAAAATTTTGAGATACTGTGAGAATTACCAAAAGACATGATGTGAGCATATACTATGGGAAAAACCTTGCCAAGAGACATGCTTGACACAGAGTTGCCACAAACTTTCAATTTGTAAAACACACAGTTATGTGTGAAGCACAATAAAGCTAAGTGCAATAAAACGAGGTGTGCCTGTATTGTATATCTATTGTCACCACCCTCTTCAAACCTGCTGCCAGGTGCCTGCTGGCCTAGGGGTCTGTGAGTCCTCATTTTCTGGAGGCAAAGAACTAGATGCAGTGTCAAGGCAGCCTCTTGTCTCCACTGGCGATTCTCTGATCGCAGCTAGACTCTCTGAAAGGGCATGTTGCTATATTTATCTTTCTCTTCCTTGAAATTCTTTGAACTAGAACTTCAAGTTCCTTACCAGCAGCAGCTTCATTTGAGGTCTTAGGGGATAGTCTTGATCTTCGTTCACTGTGAAAGGAGGAGCTGTGAACACGTGACTCAGGGCCCTGTGTTGGCCAGTCTGGATCAAAGCCCACAAAGCCCAGAATGCTGGGCTGGAATACAAATGCTGGTACCGCGAAGCAGGCCCGGGTGGGGCACTCCCAGGAACCCCCATGTGGAGGCTCTGGGGTGCCAGTTACTTCACAATGACTGGTCCTTGACTACAGTGGGAATTCTTTTTTTTCCTAACATTCCCCCTATAATCCTTTACTACTCAATGGAGTATGAGTAAACAAGGAAGAGTTAAAATGTCCCCTAAGTTCATTCCTCAATTAACACAGGTTTGAGGAGGTCTCAATCTGCTACCAAAAACAGGCCTGAAAAAAGATTTATTGCAGCCACTACTTCTGATGGCTAAAGACCACTGGTGGGACCCTGGATGGCGACAGGCTGTTGTGTGTTCTGTACCCCATGTAGGCTCAGAAGCAGGGTGGCAGCAGGTCTGGTGGAAAAAGGCTAGGCTTGACAACCAAAGAAGTCCCTGTGTGCAGCAAATGGTTAAGTGTTCAGCTACTAACTGAAAGGTTGGTGGTTCAAATCCACCCAGAAACACCTTGGAAGACAGGCCTGGCAATCTGCTCCTGAAAGGTCATAGCCTTGAAAACCCTATGCAGCAGCTCCACTCTGCACACAGGGGTCCCCAGGAGTGGGAAACCTATGCAGCAGTTCTACTCTGCACACAGAGTCCCCAGGAGTGGGAAGTGACTGGATGGCATCTAACAACAGCTAGAACCAGAGACAAAAGTAGGACCCCCACCTTACTACTGCACCAGCTGCAAGGCCACAAGCAAAGAAGCTCACCTGTCAGTCTCCCCACCCATACAGTAGAGATGATATCTCCTCCAGTGAAGATAACGCCCACAGAGGGAGGGCCTGGCACCTAGCCTGGTCCAGAGCATACGTCCCATCCCAGGGTTTCTCCAATGTAAACAGCATCCAAGTCACCCAGGATCTTGTTAATATGCAGAGTCTGACTCAGCTGGCCTGGAGCAGGCAGTCTGCATTTCCAATGATCTTCCAGGTTGTGCTGCTGCTGCTGCTCCGTGGACCACGCTTTGAGTAGCCAAGCTAACGGATGTGCCAGAGTGAGCAGTGGGGTGCCCTGGGACCAGGTTATCAGCCTGGCACTGTTTTTCCCACCCTCTCTCTGTATAGTAGTTTGGAAACAGCACACCATCTCCATGGGCTGGCCTTGTGGACCTAAAGTGACTTAACTGTTTTTTGGTGTTCTGTTTGTGCTCTCAGAGGTGGGACCTGGGCACTGGCTGGAGAGGAAGAGTGCTCACACAGGGTTGGGAGAGTTTGCTGTCTGGGGTAGCACCTGGGGACCAGAGTCCCTCAGGAACCATGGAAAGAGACAAGCATTTTTCCACTTCCTGCCTCTGCTCTTCCCAGGACTGTAAAGGGCTAGACTTGGCAGAGACGGTGGTGCCAGTAAGAACATTCCACCTCTGTTATCCTTAAACTTCACTGACAGCCGTGGTTGCAAAGCAGCTGCTCATCAGAATTCCCTCAAATGTAATATATCAAAAGCCTGGACCTCCTCAGAACTAAGGGTTGTCAGCCAGGGGGCAGTTTGCATCTTGGGGACATTAGCTGATGGCTGGAGACATTTTTGGATTCACAACTGAGAATGGGGGTGCTATGGCAACCAGCAGCAGAGGCCAAGGATGCTGCTAAACATCCTACAAGGCACAGGGCAGCCACAACAATGAAGAATTAACCCCAACCGAGCCCTCTGCTGTTGAGTCCATTCTGACTCATAGTGACCCTGGAGGACAGAGTAGAACTGCTTCGTAGTGTTTCCAAGGCTGTAACCTTTACAGAAGCGGATTGCCACATCCTTCTCCTATGGAATGGCTGGTAGTTTTGAGCTGTCAACCTTTTGGTTAGCAGCCGAGTGCTTAACCACTGTGTCACCAGGACTCCTTAATGAAGAACTCTCCTGCTGCAACTGCCAATAGTGTTGAGGTTGAGGAACTCTGCCCTAGAGCTACTCAAGTTTGTACCCAGAAATATGTCTTCAACAGGTATCTCAGAAGGTGCTAACTGAATGCACTCTTTGGAAACAGACACCTCAGGTGGAAAATAAGGTTCTGCAATTAGTTGCTGTGTGACCTTGGTCAAGTTGTTTGATCTTTCTTTCTGTGCCTTGGTTTCTCCATCCGTAAAATGAAATAATATTAACAATAGTAACACCTACTTTGTAAGTTGTTGTGGGAGCCGATGAGTCAGTACACAGCGGTTAGGATAGCCTTGGGGAGCTCTGGTAGCGTAGTGCCTAAGGCACTTGACTGCTAACCAAAAGGCTGGCGGTTCAAATCCACCAGCCACTCCTTGGAAGGAAGATGGGGCAATCTACTTCTGTAGTGATACTGCCTCGGAAACCCAAGGAGGGGTTGCTATGAGTCAGGTCTGACCCAACGGCACATAACAACAACAACAACAACAAAAAGGATAGCCTTGGTTTGCCTAATAAGACAGCACAAGTGGTGTGTGATCTGCTGTTAACCTAAAGGTCGGCGGTTTGAATCCACCCAGTGGCTTCATGGAACAAAGGCCTGGAGAATTGCTTTTGTAAAGATGACAGCCAAGAAAACCCTACGGAGCACAGTTCTGCTCTGTAGCACGTGGGGTTGCCAGGTTGCCATGAGTTAGAATCAACTCGACAGCAGTGGGTTTCGTTTATTGTTGATGGCGGTATAATTATTATCAAAAGCTGGGGTTGGGAACTGCCGGATAAGGTGACCCGCAGGTCTGGCCTTGGGGCTCACCTGGAAGCGATGGAAGTCCTGCGGCTTGAAGTCGTTGGGGGAGCAGCCGCACCAGTCCACGATGTGCTTGTACTGACACTTGCAGCCCAGCTTGCGGTTCCAGTTTGTGATGCGCAGGTTGTTGTCCACCATGGTGTTGCAGTGGGGGCTGTTCTCCAGGACCGTGTGGAAGAAAGACTGTGGGGCAGAAAGAGGACCAGCCTGAGACCTTGCCCTACCTCCCCTGGTGGGCTTGGGTGGGGTCCTTCTCTAGGACCACCAACTGTGAAAGGACTTTGTTGGACACTCATTTGTTTTCTCGCTGTGCAGATGGGGTTAACCACCAGTTGGGTCCAACTCAGGGTACAGCCAAATGTTTCATCTGGAGTGGCTGCACGGCTTTGTGTGTTTCTCTCAGTTATCTTTACGCCAACAATCTAGATCTGGTTTCAAGACATCCCTGTTCACTCAAGACATCTTCTGTCTGCTCAGTAGAGAGGAAGATCCCCTCAGGGTATGTCAACACACCGGGACCAGAGGAAAGTATGGGAACAATCTTCCAGAAAATCTTGGGCCAAAAGAACTCTTGTTTTGCAAAGAGCCAGATCTAAAACCAAAGAGATTTCAGGATGAGCTGTCCTGATGACCAAGAGATGCCCTGGGGCAAAGGAGGCCAGACTTATGGATGCATCAGGCCTGGGGCTGGAAGGCATCCCAGGCGGCCTCTTGCCTTAGCCACTCATGGAATGTGACCACAACCGGCAGATGTGAGTTGTGTTGCTATCCACGATACTGACCAGGCACCGTTGTTTTTCCAACCCTAGAACTCTTGGCCAGCCTCTCCTAGGAATCTGAGAATGAAGTGATGTTGGGAATGAAAAGAAAGGCAAAGGTTGGAGCTGCTGGGAGACTGAAAGAGAGAGTGAGAGTGAGAGTGAGAGAGAGAGAGAGAGAGAGAGAGATGCTTATAATTGGTTACTGTTTTATAACAATGTTCACTATCCATCTGTCAGTTTGTCATACTACAGTGGCTTGATGGTTGCTATGATGCTGGAAGCTATGCCACCAGCATTCCAAATACCAGCAGGGTCACCCATGGTGTATAGGTTTCAGCAGAGCTTCCAGACTAGCAAGAAATGCCTGGCAATCTACTTCTGGGAATGAACCAATGAAAATACTATGGATCACCACAGAATACTGTCTAAGACTTCAGCTTACTGACCTTGGATGTGTGATAAGGAGATACTGATTGCTGGAGGACACCATGTTTGGCAGAGTGGAAGGCTAGTGAAGGGAAGGGACTTCATGGAAACAGACCAACACAATGGCCCCAACAATGGACTCAAATACATCAGCAATTGTGAAGAAGGCACAGGGCCAGGCACCATTGCGTTATCATTCATAAGGTCACCATGAGTCAGAACTGACTCAACAGCAACTCACAACATTATAACCATTCCAGACAACAAGAAAATGCATTCTTCCCCTGCTCCTTGCCCCTTGGAGTGGTATTATGGGATATATGTCTGCCTGTTATAAATTTATAGGCACAGCCTTCAGATTTCTTCTAATCTGGTCTCCTGAGGGGGACAGGAGGGCAAGACAGAGATGCTGGAATGGAAGAGGTGGGACCTGTCAGGGATATTGAGCATATACTGTATTTTTATACAAATAACACATTATATATATACTTGCGGTGCAGTAAATTACTTAGCATGGCTTTTCTAGCCGTAAGTTTTTATAAACTCTGTGGTGGAATTTGCTGTGAGCAACTGAGGAGCTCCTGATTGTAGAAGTTATCCACCTGGGATATTTCTGTTGGGTGCAACAAAAAGCAATGTTCTGGGAGGTTCCTGCTCTCTCTCAGGTGCTTAGAATTCTGATGTTATGATTGGCTGGTTTGGCCACTCTGCCAGGCTCAAAAGGAGGCCTTCTAGAGGCAGAAGAAGTCTCTCTCTCTCTGACTGCTGGTTGAGGAAGATGTGCTGCTGAAAGAGACACTCACTGCTGAGTGAGACACCGTGGGACATTCACTGTTGGGAGAGAAGACTGTGAGAGACTGTTAGGAGAGAGACTGTGGGCTGGGAGAGAGACTGAGCGTTTTCTTGAATTTGAATTGTAGCCTGGTGCTTCCCTAATAAACCCCATAATCTGTGAGTTCTGTGTGGCCACTGCAGTGAATTATCAAACCCAGGAGATAGGGTGGTGGGTGCTTTGTACTTTTCCAACTGAGCTCTCCTACCCGCTCCCCTTCCAGGTACTGTACTAAGCATACTATGTAATTTTTTTTTTATAGCAATAAGCAAAAAAAAAAAAAAAAATGTACTATGGTATTGGGAGAGAGAGGGTGTGGTTTGGAAAAAAATACAGCACATACAGTATATGTGTAAAAATACAGTATGCTTGTATGTGTTGGGCAGAGAGTGACATGGAGCATTGTCCGGCACCGGCCATCAGAGGTGACGGCATCTAAAAGACCGTACTTCCAAACGACCTCTCCTAAATCCCCCCACCTTTCTGTGACGCTGAGGAATCAAGGTTTCAAGCTTGAATTGTCTATAAGCTTGTAGTCTCCATCAAGTATAGGGAAAAATATCCAATTACTGATTGTCCTGTGTCCTTTCATAATGGCACAGAAATTCCCTGCAAGACAATGGATGAGGTGGTGATCAGAATTGAGACAAAGGGTGATTTGCACTGAAGATTAAAAGCTGATTACTTAACATGTGTGCAGAATAGGAAACCTGGTATAGGGAGGACAGGCCCACTAGCCTGTGGTGGTGACAAGGGAAGCCAGGCCCACCAGAGCTGGGTGGTATCCCCAACACTGTCAAGGATGTGGGGTTCACTGGGTGAGATGCAGTGTCATCTGTGGTCTGTGGAAACACACAGGCTGAGGGAGGCCAATGTTGGGGGCAAGGCCAGGGAAGGCGCCAGAAAAAATAAAAACAAACCCACAGCCATCAAGTAGATTCTAACTCATACCAACCCCCACTGGGTTTCCAAGGCAGTAAATCATTATGGAAGTAGATTGCCTAGTCTTGCTTCTGTGGGGTGGCTGGTGGGTTTGAACCACCAACCTTCTGGTTAGCAGTCAGATGCCTTAGCCACTGTGCTACCAAACAGTGGACCATTTATGGGCTGTGTCATAGGCTCGGTAGAAATAGAACCAGGTCTGGAGTGCTCTGGAATTGGAAACTGGGGTGAAATGGAACTGGCTGTTGGAAAATGAATGATTTGACTCATAGCGACCCCTCCTTGGGTTTCTGAGGCAGTATCACTACAGAAGTAGATTGCCCAACCTTCCTTCTGAGGAGTGGCTGGTGGGTTTGAACCACCAGCCTTCTGATTAGCAGTCAAATGCCTTAGGCATTTGTAGGTGGCAAAATATACCAGCGCTCCTTAGGAAATGAATAGAGAACCTCTAAGTCCAGGTCCAAGGAGCTCTGGTAGCATAGTGCCTAAGGCACTTGATTGCCTTATACCTACCAGCCACTCCTCAGTAGGAAGGTTGGGCAATCTACTTCCGTAGTGATACCACTTCAGAAGCCCAAGGAGGGGTCACTACAAGTTGGTTCTGACTCGATGGCACATAACAACAAGTCCAGGTCTGATAAGGTAGCTGGCATGTCCATGTCAAAATTACAGAATCAGACCCCTCCCCATTTCACAATCAGGGTGGATGTTTTAGGAAAGTTTGTAACCTTATACAACAGGGCTTCCTACCTTGACATCTGGAAAGTGGTGATGGGCAACCCTTGACCTTTTCAAATGCTTCCAGAAGCCAAAGGGGAAAGGCTGAGTCCCCATGCACCTGGCTACATGGGGCTAGCGTCAGTCCAACAGGAGTCCTGGCTCGCTGTCCCTGAGGTCACTGGGATATCTGGGGTGTGACTGATAAAGCTGACACTGTCCCCTGTCAAAAGGAGCTCTGGAGGTGTAATGCCTAAGGCATTTGACTGCTAACCAGAAGGCTGGTGGTTCAAACCCACCAGCCACTCTACATTAGGAAGACTGGGCAATCTACTTTGGTAAAGATTTGCTGCCTCAGAAACCCAAAGGGGGTTGCTCTGAGTCAGAATTGACTCGATGGCAGTGAGTTTGGTTTTCCTGATTTGGTCTCCTGCCAAGGAGTGAAAGAACCGTATTGAAAACAATGAAAGGGGTTCCTGGTATTGAAAGGAGGTTATCACATGACTGCGAGAAGGTGGATCTGCTGGGGGATGTGGGTGTGTCCTGACAGGGCTGGCCTATATAGTTTTGTAGGTTATACACTGCACAGTCTAGGGGGCACTATCATCATCATGGATATTAGTGTGTTGTTCCTTATGCGAGTTTCCAGGCAGATGGCAGTAAAATGTCTTATTCTAACAGAAGAGAAGTTAAGGGTCTTGAGGAAGGGCCACCTTTTTCCACCCAGCACACAGGTCCTGTGTGGATTCAGTGGCAACACTGTGGGTCTACCCCATACCACCTCTGTGCAGGCCAGAGGGGGCCCTGAACCAGCACCGAGGCCCCTGATGGCCAGTGGAGCTGCCCTCTGCGCAGGGGATGCCAGGGGCTGTGCGTGTGTGCACAGCAGCACTTTGCCCAGCCTTAGCCGTCTGCTCTGCTTTCTTGGGACACTCACCTCAGCAGGAAGCAGGGTATAGGAGTAGAACTGCTTCATTTTGGTCACCAGGTCGTCTGTGGAGAATGTCACATATTCCACAAACTTCCGGTTCAGCAGGAACCAATCAGAGCCGCCATCTACAGCTATGCCCTCTGGGATACGCCGGTCGCCCAGGCGCCACATGTGGGCGTCACACTCCAGAAAGAGGCGGTCCAGGCCTTGTTTCCGTATAAATCTGGGAAAGATAAAGTAGCCCTGAGCCCAAAGGTGGTTTGAGAGAGAGGGGCGAAACAAAACACCACTATCAGAGCACTAATACCATTGACTGAGCACTTGCCATGTGCCAGGCACCAAGCCAAGGGGTCTCTGTGCAGTTTATCACTTGATCAACACAATGTCCCTATGAAGCAGGTACCCTTATTACCCCCATTTTAAATATGGGGAAGCTGAAGCACAGAGAGGTTAGGGAACTCGACCAAGACCACACAGTTAGATGGTGATTTTCATTGGCTGCAACCACTTCTTCTTTATAGAACTTTGAAAATAACCATTTGGTGCCATGGATGCTCTGGTGGTTTGGTGAATACCCATCTCAGATAAAAAAATCCAAATACACTCTCATCAAGTCTATTCCAACTCACAGTGACCCTATGGGACAGAGCAGAAATGCCGCAAGGTTTTCCAAGGCTGTCAATCTTTATGGAAGCAGACTGCCCCATCTTTCTCCTGCAGAGTGTCTGGTGGGTTTGAACCACTGACCTTTTGTTTAGCAGCTGAGTGCCTTAGCCAGTGCAGATGCACCCAATAAAAACACAGGATTGCAAAATATTTTTTAAAGCCCCCAGATTTGTAGTCTAGCAAAACACGTGCTTCTTATAAACACATTAAGTAACAAAATCTAGTGGTGGGTCTAATCCTCACTATGATGTTGAAGAAGTGGTCAGGAGAAATACTATTTAGAGGTGTCTGTACTGTATAAGGAGTCCTGATGGTACAGTGGTTAAGTGCTTAGCTAACCAAAAGGTCAGTTGTTCAAACCCATCAGCTGCTCCGTAGGAGAAAGATGTGGCAGTCTGCTTCTGTAAAGATTTGTAGCCTTGGAAACCCTGTGGGGCAGTCCTACAGGGTCTCTATGAGTCAGAACTGACTTGACAGCAATGGCTTTTGGCATCAACTATAATGTGATATAAAAATATCTGATTTCATGTGAACAAAGTCACAGTTGCTGCTAATACTACTGTGGTGTGTTGCCTGCATTTAGCTACATTTCAGCTAGAAGTTAGAGCAAATCAAGATAGCATTTTTTGGCCATTCAAGGTCACAGACCCCCTCATCTCTACCCATGAGCCTCCAGTTAATCGCTCCCAATATAGAGTATAAAATCACGCCACTGGGATTTCACAAGGCAGGGAGGGTAGGACTGGCATTTCTGTTCTGTAGATGTGGAAACCAAAGTTTTAAGGTCACAGAGGTGGCAAAGTGGGTGTGGTAGGAAGTGGACAGAGCTAGGACTGAGCCTTCTGGCTCAAACTCTCAATTCAGAATCACACTTAACATTCATTTGGCATCTACTATACGTCAGGTGGCATAGTGCCTAAGGCATTTGACTGCTAACCAGAAGGCTGGTGGTTCAAACCCAACAGTCACTCCTCAGAAGGGAGACTGGGCAATCTACTTCTGTAGTGAAACTGCCTTGGAAACCCAAGGAGCAGTCACTAAGAGTCAGATCTGACTCGACAGTATATGTCAAGCACTGCACTGGCCCCTGGTGGCGGGCATCAAAGAGAAGTCAGGATGATCCTTGTTTCTAAGGAGCTGGCTGGCTAATTGGGAGCTTAAAACCAAAAACCAAACCAAATCCACTGCCATTGAGTCAATTCTGACTCATAGCGATCCCCATCGGGTTTCCAAGGCTGTAAATCTTTAGGGAAGTAGATTGCCTCATCTTTTTCCTTAGGAGCAGCTGGTGGATTTGAACCACTGACTTTCTGATTAGCAGCCAAATGCCTTACCCACTACACTATGAAAGCTCCAGTTGGGAGCTTAGTCTAGAGATATCCTGATTAAGCAGCTTTCTGCTCCTCCAGCCTGCTTATCTTTATAAACATTCAGGAATCTGAGTTTTACAAGCCCTTATCAAGAAATTACCTTTATGAATGTTTCTCCCCATTGTCACCACAACTTCCTTATTCCAGGTTCTTAATATTACAAACAGCCTTCTGGTTAAGGCTTGTGTCCATGCCTGGAATGCTTGTCCCCCACCCCTCACCTCATACTCCCCTAATTAACTCCAATTTATCCATTAGATGAAGTTCAGAAGTTACTCCCTTAGTCCTAACATAACCATCACCCTCTTCATCATCATGACCATCACCATCTTCACCATCATCATCATCACCATCTTGATCCTCATCAACAAGATGACTAAAACGTACAGAGTGTTACCATTCCAAGGGCTTTACACAGTTATCTATTTAACTCTTATGAAAACTTGGGACAGTAGCTTTATGAATCCAGTTTTATAGATGCACAAACTCACATCTTGGTATTACATAACTGTGGGATTCTTTGGTTAAGACGGTTGGACTATAAGCTCCATGAGAGCAAGGGTTGCACTTGCTTTTTGCTCATCACGGTGTGTTTGATACCCACTACATACTTAGTAAATCTCCAGGGAATGAACGGATGAACTCAATGCATCAAAAAGCAAATATGTGCCCAGTATCCCCACATTCTCAGCTTTGTGTCAGGTTCAGTGAAGGACAGGAAGCAGTAGGGAAAACAGGAACATACCTTACAGGAATTCTCAGTCTAGCTGAGGAGATAGCATATATTGTTGTTAGGTGTCAATGAATCGATTCTGACTCAGCAACCCTATGTACTACAGAATGAAACACTGCCCTGTCCTGCACCATCCTCACAATGCCAATCACCGTAGCCACTGTGCCAATCCATCTTGTTGAAGATCTTCCCCCTTCTTCCTGACCCTCTCTAGTTTATCAAGCATGATGTCTTTCTCTAGGGGTTGGTCCCTGAGATAGTACACAGGCACAAATAATCATGGTTTAAAGGAATTTCAATAACTTTCAGAAAGATAAGTAAAAGAGCAAGGTCAAAAAAGTCAGGGACACCATGGGTTTGGTGGGCAGGGTGAGGAAGAAGATGGAAGAGACAGGACCTGAGTTAGGCAGTAGATTCATTGAATGAAGAAGAGGACATGGACATTCTAGACACAGGGAACAGCCTAACCAAAGGTGTGGAGCCTGGGGAACAAACCATCATGACTTAAGCAGAAGGCTGCTGACACAGTTTGTAGTGGAAACATGCTGTTTTGCCTGCCCAGCACCCATTCCTGATTTTTCTTGGAAGTTGACTTGGGACAGACACTCTTCCCCAACCCTCAGATCATGAGGTTTTGCACCTCACCCTTAGCACCAAGGGTGAGAACAAAACCCAGGTCAAGTCCATCAGAGCACTCCATCTGCCTGCCTGCCACGACTGGTTCAGGGATGGGCAAGCAACTCAAGCTGAGATTGAGACTGGGCCTGGGTTTTTACATAACTACTGAGGAGGAAGTCTTTCCTGTGGGATTTTCGGCTGGGAGAATATAAGCTTGGAGACACTGTTCACCATCTCATCACCATGACTGTAGAATTGTCTAACAAAGGTGGTAACACAGAAAGAAGAGAACGTGATGGTGCCAGACTGTCTTGATGACTTTGAGACTCTGGACTGGCTATCCCTGACCCATTCCCAGACTTGTCAGTTACATGCTTATGACATTTTGAGATGGGATCCTATCACTTGCAATCCAAACAGTCCTCATACATGCCTGAATAATTTCAACTTCACCACTAAAACGATGGGTGGGATTTTGCTTAGGTGCCAGGCATGGGCAGGAGGCCACGACTGTGGCCCATAAATAGCACCTTCACCCCCACCCCCACCCCCACCCTCACCCCTGCTGTGCATTTAGAGTCCTTTGTACATCCACAGCAGATCTCGCCTTCTGTCTCCAGGTTAGCGTTACTAGTCTCCGCCCAGGCAGACCCCATTCTCACTAGAACAGACCCTTCCTTCCTCCTTTCTGCCTCCCCTTGGAGTCCCTTTGGCAGTGTAAGCAGCTTCTCAGAAAAGGTCTTTTGTAATGGCTAGACTTCAGGGAACAGATGCTAGCAATGGTCCCACCCTGCTGGTCATGCTGAATTTTAGAAAGAACTTCTCCCACAGTTTAGAATCCATGGGCATCTCCTAGAAGGTACTGAGTAAAAGCTCACTAACAAACTCATGTCTTTAGTACTTTCTTCTGCATGAGCAGAAGACCTGACCTTCCATGTTGGCCACTCATTGAAGGAGATGACACAGTAAAATGAACCCTACCCAAAGTTGATGATGGTGTGATAAAAAATGGTGATGATGATGCTGGTAGTGAACGGACTTAATTCTGCTCAATGTGCTTCCCACCTGCAACGCAGTGACCTCTCACACAAATCAGCTGTGTGACTTCCATAAGTCGAGAGTCCTCCCTGAGTCTCAGCTTCCTTCTTGGTAAAATGACAGAGTTGCAGTAGGTCTGTGTTGTAAAACTAAAGGCTTCTAGGGCTCAAGCAGATATTGGCTGTGAGTGAAGTGGGTTTATGGAGTCAGCAGAGACAAGGAGAATGCATGTTCAGAACCTCAAAACTCAAACCTACTGCCATTGAGTTGATTCTGACTCATAGCATCTTCACAGGGTTTCTAAGCCTGTAAATCTTTATAGAAGCAGATTGCTTCATCTTTCTCTCATGGAGCGGCTGGTGGTTTGAACCAGTGACCTTTTGTTTAGCAGTCCAGTGTCTTAACCACAGTGCCACCAGAGCTCCTTCACCTTGGGAAAGGCACTCAAATTCTGTAATACCTCTAGCTAAATCAAAGTGACCTCTTCTCATTTCAGCTCACAGGCCACCAATTGTATCTTTGGGTTGTTGTTAGCTGTTATCAAGATGGCCCCCAACTCAGGTGATTTCATGGGACAACAGTATGAGACACTGCCCGGCCCTGTGCCATCCCCACGAACACTTGTGGATCCGACCATTGTGATCCACAGAGTTTCCACTGGCTAATTTTCAGAAGAAGGTCACGGGGCCTTTCTTCCTACGTTCCCTGTAAGGAACTTTTCAGCTGTCGCATCCTCTAAATTACTCTGTAGTATCCAAGAGGGTTTGGGGTGGGTATTACATATGAGTGTATGGATGC